CCTCACCGCGACAGCCCTAAATCACGGCTTTGAGAGTCAAAAAAAACATACACAAACAAAACCAAATTAAACCCTGCGGCTCGTGACGATACATTGATGTGTAAAGACACAAAACGATCGGTCTGTGCAAGAAACTGAACAGTATTTATATAGTTTTTTACCTCTGATGCACTGCAATGTCTGAACTGTCCTGAGCACGTCCTCGACAGCCGGTGCGTGACACGTCTTCTTCTTCTTCTTGCTTTACGGCGGATCACAGACTTATAAGTGCATTACCGCCACCTATCTCTCAAATGGACCATTGACACTCCTAATTGAGATTGTAGATAGCATAAAGACAATCACCTATTGCACCTTTAAACTACTAAAGAATAAATGTTGAAACGGCTTGCCATAGATGTCAGCAGCATTCTCGGTCTCCTTGCGTAAATACGCTGCGCGTCATGAGCGGTAAATACCAGCTCGCGAATGAAGAGCTTGTACAAGAAAACTCATCACTGACGTGCTGCACGTGGACATACCACTTATTACCTCAAAATCGATGGATACCCTATTTAATTTCACATAAATGATCATCCCCTCTCAACGGCTTCTGTTTGTGTGAGTGACTCTGTCGTGATTGCCCATTGTCATTACTATCTGAACATGAATACACTCTGTATCAACAGTCTGTGAGTACCGCGGCTGTCTCTTAGCAACCTAATCTTTCCTTCTGTTGCTAAGTAACCACGTGGTTGTTACCTGTTCGCTTCACGTCACTCATACAGTCGCTGTATGTATTCAGGTGCGACAGGACTTCAGCTCAGTACTGTTAAAAGAGAGCAGGGTTATGGCTAATTATTAATCCCATTTGTTCAGTTAATGACTTCCATTATCTGATGTCATTTCTACGGTGACCGTGAGGTGACATGTTCGGTTCACTGGAATTTTTATTGGAATGCAGTTTAAATGTAACATATTTCATTTTATTTCGGCTAAATAATAGACTATATTTATAAATATTATAGTGTGTTTCGTTGAGAAATGAATCATGCACGTAGTTTCATTTGTAAATGAAAACACAACAAGCTCATTTATCATCACACAAGGGCATAAATAAAATCATAAAAAGTCAAAACTTTATTGGCATAATTGTCAGACGTTTACAGAATTTGCCAAATATGTGGTAGCAATTAATAGCATAGGCTGATTATACAGAACGTTAATTAGGTAAAGCGATACACTAATTGAAAGGGGAAATAAGCATATATAACAGTAAAGATGAAAACGTTAATATAATAATAATAAAAATAAATGTTAAATGTTAATTAAAAAAATGTTTTATCCATATAGTCCGGGGTTCCGATGGTAACACAGGTTTGTTTACGCATTAAACTCGTGGCCACGAGAAAATAAAGTGAACCGAACATGTCACCTCACGGTCACCGTACATTTCCCCTTTTAGAACAAATATTTCCAAATACCACAAAACAAATAACATTTAGCTGTTAAAAACATTTCAATGACAATGCCAACATGGCGAATTTAGTAGGTTATATCTAGTCTTTACACTACATAATAATTTTTTTTGAATGGTGCCAAAGTAAGTTCATTGTCAAATGTAGCATCTAATCTAACAATGAAATTTCGGAAACTCCAAAAAAAAAAAAAAAAAAAATTTTAAAAGAGTTTTTGATGCTGTTCACTTTATTTAAACACTTTTTGGCTGTTCATGGCTGTTTTTGGCTGTTCATTGGCTGTTCAACACTTTTCATGGTAACTTTTTGGCTTAAATCAGTGTTTTCATTTTGAAAGATCATGTTTCAATCAAGGAGCTCAAACTTGACACTTCTCGTCATTCTGTGCAAGGGGCTGGATATGGGGAGAGAAAATGTTGAAATAAAGTGTTATTTCATGCATTTTTATCAAGAGAAAATAGGGAGACTTGTGAATGTCTAACGTTCTATTATGTTGGTATTTTAAAACACTTTCTTTTATGTTGTTTTTTTGGGACAAGTTACCATTTTGGTGAAGTGTGGAGCATGTGCTTTGGGCTGATGAGGACAAGCTAAAAACATTTCAAGGTGATTAAATAAAAAACAACTCTAATGGGAGGGCTAGGGGTGTAAACCTTGGTATCTTTAGATTGCTAACATCCAACATGGTATGTGTGAAGAAAA